TGGGAAATGAGTCACCTCCTCTTTCCTCCATCAGCGTTAGGGGCACACCTCTGGGATATCAGAAATGTTGCGAGGGATATGTGTATATATTTGCTAAGCTGTTAAAAAGAAAACAACAGGAGTGGCCCTTGTCAAATATTAAACATTAAATGGAATTTTTAATGAAATAAGTATCAAAAGCCTACAAAACAGTGACAGTTTTCTGATTCTACGACATTGGGCAGGGTTTTAATCCGTCAGCTCCGAGCGCCGTTTTCCTTCATGTTCCCCTCTGCCTGGCACACAGTGAGGACCCACAAAAGTGGGTAGTGAACTAGTGAATAAGTGGACTTGTATTTGTTCTGACATATACAGTAGATTTTCCAAGTGCAAAGTTCTGAGGCCTGTACCTTGAACTCTTTGGAGGAAGTGAGCTATGGAAACCAATTACAGGCAGGAAAAACAGTCACAGTAACACATTATTGATTCAGTACAGTGGGGTGAAGTGTTCCGTGTGAGTAGTAAAGGAGATAAAGGAGGGAAAACTGAGCTTTTTCCAATATACCTCCAAAAAGATATGTCCACATCCTAACCCTTGGATCCTGTGAATGGGACCTTACTTGGAAAAAGGGTCTTTGCAGATATAATTAAGTTGAGGATCTCTAAATGAGATCATTGGAATTACCCAGGTGGGCCCTAAATCCAATGACAAGTGTCCTTATAAGAGAAAGACACAGACATGGGCTCTGGCTGGGTAGCTCAGTTGGTTAGAATGTCGTCTCGATACACCATGGTTGCAGGTTCGATTCCCAATCAGGGCACATACAAGAATCAACCAATGATTGCATAAATAAGTGGAACAACAAATCTCTCTCTCCCTTCCTCTCTCTCTCTGTGTCTTCCTTCTTCTCTTTCTCTAAAATCAATTTTTTTAAAAAGATACAGACACAGAGAAGAAGGCCATGTGAAGATGGAGGCAGAGGCTAATGTGATGCAGCCACAAGCCAAGGATTGCCTGGAGCCACCAGAAGCTGGGCAAGGCAAGGCAGGATTCTCCCCTAAAGGCTTCAGAAGGAATACAGCCCTGTTGCCCTCAAGAACTGTGAGAGAATAAATTCCTGTTGTTCTAAGCCACCCAGTTCGTGGTACTTTGTTACAGCAGCCCCAGGAAATGAATATAGCTGCTTTGGAACTACAGCAGCCAACCCTAGTAGTTGTAGCAGAGATTGTATGGCCCACAAGCCTAAAATATTTACACAAAATGTTTGCTGACCTCTGATTTAGAGCATCGCCCTTTTTTGTATGGTTGATGATATGTACTAGGGGAAAAATAAGTCACCGTGTTAGTATTACCCCCATTTTATAGATGGGGAAATTAAAGCAAAGTGAGATTAAGGGACTTGTCCAAATATATCCTGTTGCTTTCACATGCCAAAACATCCCCTCCCTTTTCTCCAGCACAACACCCTGACTTTCCTTGGGGGACACCCCACCCACAGTGCCCATGGTTTGGGCAAGGCTCACCTCACCTCCTGGTTCCAGGGTTGAGTATCTAATTGTCTTAATCAGCTGGGGCTATATATATAACAAATACCACAGACCGTGTGGCTTAAAAAACAGAAATTTATTTTCTCACAATTCTGGAGGCTGGAAGTCCAAGATCAAAGTTTAGCAAGGTCAGGCTTCTGGTGAAGGCTTTCCTCCTGGCCTGCAGATGGTCACCTTCTCCTTGTGTCCTCACAAGGTCTTTCCTTAGTGTGTGCAGGAGGAGATCCCCCCACCCTGCCTCTTCTTATAATGATACTGGTCCTGTGGGATTAGGACTCATCATTATGGCCTCATTTAGCATTAACTATCTCCTAAAGGCCCTGTTTCTAAAAAACGGTTGCATTGAGGGTTAGGGCTTCAACCTATGAATTTTGAAGGGACACAGTTCAGTCCACAGTTCCACCGCAGGCCAGGCTAATCAGTGCTTTCTTTAACTTGGTAACTTTTAGCATATGACCCAAGGCTATATCTCTAGGCATAGCCTTTGCTGCAACTTTCAGACAAGCAAAGCTTTCTTTTCCTTAGCACTCAGGATAATGTGAGGCTAGAGTATCCAGGGGCATATGGAGAGGACCTGGCAGAGGGCACAGCCAACTTAGAAGAAAGCAGAGCTAAGCAGCCTATGGAGAGTAATTAGATCCAGCCTTACTGAAGTAGGATCCCCTAGATCTCTGTTAACATATACAATCAATTTTTTTTGAGCTGTTTCCTGTTTGATAGACGACCATCTGATAGCTAATAATTGTGGAGATGGGATCTGAAAGCAGGTTTGTTTAGCTCTAAGAGGCTCAACTCAGAATTTCCTGGGAGTAATCTTGGTGCTTAACATAGGAGCCATCCTCAATCCTGCTTCCCAGGTGGCAGATGGGTTATGAACATTTTTATTGCCTTCACTCTTGCTCTCCTTAATTGATGGTGGGAGCAGGGAAGGTGCAATGAGTGTAAATAAATAAAGAGAATTATTTAAATCTAGGTTATTTCAGGGAGTTCTCACTAGTTATGAAACAAAACAAAGCTTCCCCAGACTGAGGTCCCAATGTAGGTCCTGACAAAGGATACAGACAAATTCCCAGCAGTTGAGGAAGGGGAATTTCTGGTCCCCTCCCCGAGTCCCGACCCCTGGTTTCTCTGGAGCCAGGTGACTGTGTTCAAGGCACAGCTCTGCTAAAGCTGTGTGAGCCTGGGCAAGCAGCTGAACCTGCCTGTGTCCCTGGTTCCTCATCTGAAAAATGGAGATAGTGCCCACTTCATAGGATTAACATAAGGAGTGAGTGAACATGTGTAAGGCGACAGTGCTGGCACACAGTAAGTCCTTTGTAAGAGCTGTTATTATTCCGGAGGCTGGCTCCTCCTCATTCAGTTCTCAGACCAAACTGCACCTCACAGACAGCTTCCAGCTTCCATGGGGCAACCCCCACCTTCTCACTCCCTCATACAGTTTTGTTTCATTCAGAGCATTTTCTGCTATGGGATCCCTTCCCTTTCAGTTTCCTTTCCTTTCCTTTCCTTTTTTTTTTTTTTTTTAAAGGCTGCAAGCTTTACAAAGGACAGAAACCTTGTATATTTTGTTAACTGCTATTTCCCCAGCACCTAGCTTCCTACTTGGCACATAGTAGGTGCTCAATAAACATTGGTTTGAATGTAGGACAGCGGCACTCAGCCACACCACCAATACGCCACCACGGCCGTCTCGTCGTGAGCTCTTTTCTCCTCCTCTTTACTTCCCAGTGTAACTTCTTGTGAGCACAACTCCAGAAGCTCCCCAGACAAGGCCACCGCCCCAGAACCGGGGCCTTCCCCGCTCCGCCTCGCGGGCGGGAGAACGGGGCGGCCCGCTGGAGAGCAGGGCGAGCGCCCAGCAGTCCCTCCCGCCGCCCGCGTCGCTTTAAGGCGGAGGCCGGGAGGGGGCCGACCCCGCCCGCCGGCTCGGCGCGCGGCTCCAGACTCCGGCATTTCCTCCCCGCTAGCTGGCGCGGCCTCGCCTCCCCTCGGAAGAGGAAACTCCCGGGGCTCGAGTAACGGGAACGAGCGCGGAGGAGAGCGACGGGGGAGCCCGGTGGCAGGAGGGCCGCCCAGG